CCCTCCCACAAGATGAAGAGTCCTTAGGTTCAAGGGGACAGTCCTCCTGGTGCCTGTGACCGCCCTTCTAGGCCACACGCTGAGTACCCTGGACCCCGAGGTCCCCAGTGGAAATGCCCCCCCCGCCCCTCCTGTGTCCACTCCGGGCAGATCTCTCGAGTCCTTCCTCCTAAGGCAGTGGTTCTCAACCTTCCTAACCCCGCGGCCCTTTCATACAGTTCCTCATGTTGTGGTGACCCCCAACCATAAAATTATTTTCGTGGCTACTTCATAACTGTCATTTTGCTACTGTTATGAATCGTCATGTAAATATCTGATATGCAGGATGTATTTTCCTTGTTACAAATTGAACATAATTAAAGCATAGTGCTTAATCACCAAAACAATATCAACCTTCCTAATGCCGCGACCCTTTAATACAGTTCCTCATGTTGTGGTGACCCCCAATTTCCTTGTTACACATTGAACATAATTAAAGCATAGTGATTCATCACAAAAACAATATGTCATTATATATGTGTTTTCCGATGGTCTTAGGCGACCCCTGTGAAAGGGTCGTTTGACCCCCAAAGGGGTTGCAACCCACAGGTTGAGAACCACTGTCCTAAGGTGAGACACTCGGTTGGCGTGCAGACCGTCGGCCCAGAGGGTGCCCGTAGCTGGCTATTGACTGGGGGCCTGGATGAGCTTGGCCACGTGGGCTGGGGCCACGGGCGAGGCCCTGGCATTGTGAGCTGCAGCTAGTGGGCAGGGGCCTTGGCACAGCTCCCCAAGGAGCCTGTGAACAGAATTCAAACCAGGCCTCCCAGCTTGTTATGAAAAGCACACCTGTCAAGTGGGCACATAGACCATATTTACAAACAGCGTGAAATAGGACTGACAAATTCTGAACGTTTAGATGGGGTGGGGCAGGTGGGGGGGCGGGGGGAAGGAGGAGGAGACTCTTTCTTTGTGCTCTTGCCACCCTTCCAGTAGCAGCAGCTCCCAGGCCAGGTCGGAGGAGGGTGGGGAAACCCTCGGAGAGACCCACCCTCCAGGGCCTCACCCTCCCTGTTCTGGTCTCTTTGCTCACGCAGACCGGACATGGACCTACTCCTTCTCCGGGGCCTTCCTGTTCTCCATGGGCTTCCTGGTCGCAGGGCTCTGTTACCTGAGCTACAGATACATCACCAAGCCGCCTAAGCCTCCCCACTCCCTGGTGAGCACCCCACCTGGCGCAGGAGGGGGAGGTGTGGGAGGACCCCCAGCAGCCGAGGGCGTAGGCCCGGGGAGCCCTGGCTCTCCCTGAAGTGCAGGGGTCAGCGCACAGAGCAGAAAGCCAGGCCTCAGTTCTCCCTCCGACGTGAAGAGCTTGGCCAGGTGGGCTGGGGCGTCCTGGCCATGCCAGGCCCCTGGCACTGTGAGAGGCCAGGCGTGGCAGGGGCGCCTGAAGGGTGGGAGTTGGGAAGAGCAGGCTTGGAAGAGAGAACCACGCAGCCTGGAGCATCCACGTCCAGGCAGGAGGGGTGGGACCGGAGAGCAGGCCCCTGCAGGGCCGCAGGGCGGTGGGCGCTGGGGGTCCCCGAGCTCAGCCCTGTCTCAACGGCAGCCAGTTCCACCCCCTGGGAGCACCGGCCAGATCTTAGCATATTTTTTCAAGAGAAGTCAGAATTGCAGATGATAATGCGAAATCTCTCAATTTTCAAGTAAACCACACACGTCCCGTTGCAGCCCCTGTCTGGCCACCAGCACTGCGTCTGCTAAAGGCCCTCCCACAGGCCGCAGCCCAGGCCCGGGGCTCGGGGGGCTCTCGCCCATCTGAGGGGCTCGAGGACAGTGCACTCACTGTCACAGCCCAGACGAGCCATTTCCTATGAAACTCTCCTGGTCTCCCCTGCCCCCCATCCCTTCCCACCTTGCCCCCTGCATTGGCCCTTAGAAGCCCCTGAGCAAGAAGCAGTGTGGGCCACCACCTCCAGAGCGTACCCCCAGGCCACCCCAAATCTAAGTCATCTACTTCCTGGACTATCTACCTCCCGGAGAAACCGTAGTGGGAACCTCCCTCTGAGAGAGCCCCCCAGGAGAGGCCTCAGCTCCAGGCCGGCAGCCCTGCCCTTGTGGGGGTGGGGGTGGGGCGGCATTTAGCAGAACCTCAGAGAGGCGAAGGGACCTGTGGGATATGCACTTGAAAAGCCCCTGATGGCCTCTGCCTCCCCATGGAGGACCTCACCCCCAGGCGCCCTCAGGGAGCTGGGAACGGGTCCTCACGGGGCTGTTGTTGTCCCCAAGCAGGATGTCCAGCGTGTACTGACCTTCCAGCCCCTGCGGTTCATCCAGGAGCACGTGCTGATCCCCGTCCTGGACCTCAGCGGCCCCAGCAGCCTGGCCCAGCCTGTCCAGTACTCCCAAGTCATGGTCTCTGCGCCCAAGGAGCCCCCGGGAGCCCTCCCGCTGCACAGCCGGTCTGAGATCACCTACCTCGGGCAGCCGGACCTCTCCATCCTGCAGCCCTCCCGGTCGGCGCCTCCCCAGGCGGGCTCCCCGCCGTCCTACACTCCCCAGGCTGCCCCTGAGGCCGGGCCCCCAGCCTACACACCTCAAGTCACCCCCGAGGCTAAAGCCCCATCCTACACTCCACAAGCCATCTCTTCCTACGCCCCCCAGGCCACTCTGGACAGCTGTCCCCCATCCTATGGGCTGTGCATGGGAGGGTCTGGCAAAGACTCCCCTCCGAGGACACCCTCTGGTCCCAGACCCCTCAGGACTGAGGATCAGCTCCAGAAAAAGCCACCAGCCGCTGACCTCTCCCTGCAGGGGTTGGCTTCCGGGGCCACCGAGGAACCCCAAGAGGCCAAGCCCTTCCCCCAGCACCTGTGCGTTGACCCGGACAGAGCACCCGACACGACTGTGCTGCACAAGGGGGAGCCAGGGACACCGGGGTACCTGAAGGGCCAGCTGCCCCTCCTCTCCTCTGTCCAGATTGAGGGCCACCCGGGGTCCCTCCCTCTGCACACTCCTTCCCTCCCATGTTGTCCCATGGACCAGGGTTCATGCCCCGGGGGGCTGCTGGAGTCCCTCGTGTGTCCTAAGGATGATGGTCCCGGGTTCGAGCCTGAGGCCCCTGGGGACTCAGCCCTGGAGCAGCCCACAGAGCTGGACTCCCTCTTCAGAGGCCTGGCCCTGACCGTGCGGTGGGAGTCCTGAGTGGACGGCAGAACGGCCTGGGGCTTCCCCCTCACCCCCAGCCCTACCTCACATCCGCTGCTGTCACTCCCAACCCACCATGCCATGCACACAGCCCACCCGCCTCAGTGGGGGCCCTGCGGGAACCAGAGGAGGGCGGGTGGCGCCAGGCCTTGCCAGGGCGGGAGCAGGGAGACAGGATTGGGACATCAGATGGGGAGTGATGGGCACGCATCCTGTGCCAATGAGTGTGTGCCAATGAGTGCGTGCGCAGAGCTCTGCAGGGAAGGCGGGGACCGTCAGTGCGGGGAGGTAACTAACGCACGGGGACTTCCAAGGCTGGGGCCCAGCTCCTAATACGCGGGGCACAAGGTTCTCTAGGAGCCTAGTCTCCGCGCCCCGCTCCTGGCCAGTTTCATAATCTAGCTCCACAGAGAGGGAGGTCTGCCTCCTCTGTGACTCCCCAGGTGAGAGAAGGAGCCGGGAAAAGGATGCCCCGTAGCAGGCTGGGCAGAACCACAGCCACCTGCGCTTCTGCCGAGGTGAGAAGCAGCGCCATGGACAGACTCCAGGGAGGGGTGCGGCCTGGGGCTCATTCCCAACCAGGGCTGCTGCCCAAAGTCGAAGTCGCAGCATTCCAACTCCACTCCTCAGCTGGAGGCTGCGCCCCCAGGGAAATGCAGGTCCACCAGGGAGGGAGGGCCTTTCCGTGGAGGGAGTTTCAGTCCCCATCCTGAGAGCAGGGTTTGGAAGGAAATGGGCCCACGTGGCCCCTGAAGGAGACACAACCAACACCAGCACTGACTTCACGACTTTGGAAACTCAGCCGTGGGTTCAGCCCATCTGGGTGCAAATTCCAGCCTCACCACCTACCACCCGTGTGACTTCAACCAAATGAATCAGCGCTCAGAACCGCAGTTTCCTCCTTGGTAAATGGGTGTGGGAACCCCTACCTCGCGGGGTAGTGGTGAGGGTGAAATCAAACAACGTCTGTAAAGTGTGTGAGAGTGTCTGGCTCAGGGCAGTGCCCAATAAATGGTAGCTACTTCCTGTTATGATTTTTTTTTTTTTAAATCAACACAGGACCCACTGCCCCAGTTCCGGTTGGCTTCAGACCAGGCATTTTCTCAGATTATCCTGCTTTCCCCGGGATTGCTCCAGGCCGGGCCAGGGAGCTAGTCTGTCTGGTGGAGGAAGCCAGGGATGGAGTCACAGGGCCTCCCGGAAGCAGGGGCCAGGGACAAGTGGAGCCTTCTTCCCGAGGTTGTAAATGGGAGCTGTTTCGGGGGTGTCGGCATACTCAGGTGGCCCCTTTGCATGGAGCCCCCAGGCCTGCCCCCTCACCCCCAATGTCGGTACACCCTGTGTGCTGTTTGCACCTCAGATGAGAAAACTGAGGCCCCGAGCGGAGAAGGGACTCACCCAGGGGCCCCACTGAGCCCGTGATGTGGGCGGAGCTCGAACCAAGTGCTTTTTGTTCTCATCAAGAGAAAGGACTTTGCACACCGGTTTGGATTCTCGGAGGATGAGACATAAGGAGGGGAGGGCCCCAATGGGGTCCCCATCCCCTTCCTGTCCCAAAGCCAGATCTGAACATCTCTGAGAAACAGGACAATGTCCGGCTGCCTCGGTGTGGCCTTCTGGAGTGTTCCGTGCCAGCACGGCCAAGGGTGAGCCTGAGGGGGGAGGGTGGTGGTGGTGGTGAAGGATTGAGAAAAGACAGACAAGAGAATGAAAGCTGGGTCTGGGTGGGACACTGTCCTCTCTGAGGGAGAGCTAGCGACAGCGTCATGGACTACCAGCCGTGTCTTTATTTTATAGCAGATTCCACAAGGCAAATTAAGGGCGTGGTCAAGATGTTTACAACATTCTTGTGGGTTTCGAATCTACTCAATTACATGCACCTGAACTCTATCAAGCACACATGACTCAGACACGTGGGACCACAGGTTCGGACCGTAGGGTCAAACTTACAACCATAGCCTTTGGCTGTAATTGTGCTGGGAGGGCTCTGCCCTCCAAGCTGGGACTTGCACGTGGCTTTGCCATGAGAGGACTGTGCCCTCTCATTAGTCCGAGGCTTGAACCTGTCCAAACACTGCAGCCGCTCTCCACACAGGAGAGAGTACAGTGTCCTCCTTCCCCTGAACCCAGATATGCCCTCCCTCCCCTCCCTGCGACAAGCACCAGGTGGTGGTGTTCTTATCTGTTTGCAATTAATATTTAACATTTCAGGGTTGCCGGTTTAGGCCCAATAGCTCCATAAGAGAGGGTGGGCCGCCCTCCCAAGCACCCCAGGCCCATTCTCCTCTTAGCAGCCACTAAGTTGGCGTTAATGAATGCTCCCCCTCTCCCCACTCTGCAAACACGGCTGCTTCCTGTCACTTGGGATGAACTTGTTAAGTAATGAACAACAGCTTCACAGCTGGACTGCTCTCACCAGGCGGTTGGGACCGGGCAACACAGGAGTTTTTTTATTAAAAGCCATAAACCTCTCTTCCACTTCACAGGGCCACAAGGCTCTCTAAGCTCCTCCGAGTGACAGATGTCCAAAGGACTCCATGACTCTTGAGGGTGGAGTCTGAGTGGCTGCGGAGGGAGGTGAAGGACTGACGGAGCACTGTGACCCTCGTCAGGCTGGACTGCTCCCAGGACAGGCCGCAGGCTGCACCCCGCAGGTCTCGGGTCTCCTAGGCAGGCAGCCCAGGCCTGCAGTTACAGCCACAACCAATAGAGGGCAGTGTCCCGGGCCCGGGAGCAGGGCTGGGACCTGGGCGTTCCTGAGTGACCCAGGCCCTGAACCCATTAGCAGGAATCTCCGAGCTGCCACCTGCCTCCAGGCCCGGCAGAGCCCAGCCCAGGAGGAAAGGAACAGAAGCAGGCGGAGATGAGGAGGAACTCGGGCACGTGGCCCCGCGGTTTCAGTGGGCGATGACTCCTTTTGTATTATTGATATTTGCAAAGGAGGAAATGTTGCTGGGGAGGTGACTTGCCCAGGTTGTTTCCTAAACTTGCCTCATCCTGAGAATCCCCTGGGAGCTTAATAAAAATACAACTTCCCCAGTCTTCCCCCCGCCCCCAACTGCCTCCCCACACCGCCCGTCCC